GTCAGGAACAATACACTTACCCCTCCACAGGATCAGAGCCCCTCGCTCCAGAAATTTTATACTTCCCTCAAATTAATGATTGGGCCTATTGCTTTAATTTTAAAGGTACTTCTGAAAAGTGTTTAGAGATTGATGAGCATTGAGTGTATAATTTGCTTAAAAACAACTTCATCCTATACCTTGATTTTTCCAGGCTTGTATCCACTATAAGCTTTCTCCAAATTTTTAAAAAAGTCATTAGAGAATTTTTTTTTTCTTTTGAGACAGGGTCTCAGTATGTAGCCCTGGCTTACTTGAAATTTGCCAAGTAGACCAGACTGGCTGTAACTCACAAATATCCACCTGCCTCTGCCTCTCAAGTGTTAAGATTAAAGATATGTGCTACCACACTTGTCAAGTTTTATCTGTCTTAAGAAGTAGTTGTTCTCACATGACTTTAGTTTAGATATTTTGTATTTATTTAATATAAAAATTTTGTTCTTTTCTAGATTCTATATTATAATTATTGAAAATAGTTTAATGTTTATAGTTTTTTAATGATATAATACCAAGTTTAAAGGGAGAATAACTTTATTCCTATATACCTTCTTTTTCACTTATGTGCACAGTGAACAGATATGTTTATTATTCTTTGTTAAACTTAGCATTATAACATTATTAAAAATATGAGCATGTAACTCAAAATTGCAGTTTTTGATGACTGTAATATGTTATGCTTATTTGCCTGATTCTTTGTTGTTGAATACTTAGTTTGTTTCTAAAATCTGCTATAGAGAATATTGCTAATAACATTTCTACAAATGGATTACAATTTACTTTGAATTTTATCTTTTTTTTTTTTTTGAATTTTATCTTTTGGACACATTTCTTACTGAATAAGAAGTCTGAAAATTTTAATACTTATATTTCCTTTATATTTATTTACATAAGCCTATTTAAATGTTATAAATATATTTACCTAAATAAATGTATTTATTACATATGTAGCAGTTTCAGTGTACAATTTCAGTGTAACTGTTAGTATTCAATAATCTTTTTTAACACTAAATTTAATAGATAAAAATGATGCATGTTTATTCTCTAGAAGTACTTGATAAGGAAGATTAACTTATAAGTTAAACTATGTTCATCGGAAAAGCTTTCCTGTGTGATAGGTATGGTACATGATCACATATAAAATGGTGGAAATTGGCTATGGCTACATAACATAGAAGTTTGTAGAATAAATTAATATTTGGAGACTTACCGTGTTGTTTATGAACTTTAAAAAATAGTAGGAAAAATACTTAATTGTACAAAACACTATAGCTTGAAAAAAGGTTTCTTTGTCAATATATTTTTAAAATCTTATAGTTGAAAGCATAATAGTGTGGCGGGATTGAGATATAAACGTTTTCTTTCTCATGACCTCATTTCAACTCATTGCATGAAGAAGCCACTGGGTGTCCAACTACCATTCTTGTTCACAGTTGTAACTACTATTAACAACTTCTTAGGAACTATTTGTTGTGTAGAAGTCTAACTTTTAAACTTCTTTGTTCCTATTTCATTTTACTTTTCGGTGAAGTTGTGACTTCTCTGGAATTGTGAATATTCTACTGAAGTATGGAGCCCAGTTAAATGAACTTCACTTGGCATACTGCCTGAAGTATGAGATGTTTTCAATGTTTTGCTGCTTTTTGAAGAAAGTTTGCCTATTGACTCCTTGGAATCATACATCTGAATTTATAAGTTATGCAGTTAAAGCCCAAACAAAATATAAAGAGTGGTTGCCACATCTCCTGCTTGCTGGATTCGACCCATTGACACTGCTGTGCAGCAGCTCTTGGTAAGAAATGTTTCTAGTGAGCCTTCCCCATTGGTATTGAGTCTGCCTCAAGCATGCCATCAGGTCTTGAGATCTCTGCCCTAGGAGGAGGGTAGGGGTGTGTGTGTGTGTGTGTGTGTGTGTGTGTGTGCGTGCGTGGGTACTGCCATACTGTACTGTGGGAGAGTATTGACCGCTATTGCTATGTTGGGGTGAAAGAGTTGAGGGCTCCAAACAATAGAAATTGATCTTAAAGCACAAAATTCTGTAAGAAGTGACTACAAATAGTTAGGAGAGGTATAGCTTCCAGGGTGCTTTCCTAAGGAACATTTTCTTCTCCTCTTGACCACTCATTGTGCCCCTCTTTTTGTTCTGGAGACAAGAGTCTTAGTAGCTCGGTCTAGTCTTGACTTTGTGGTCCTCAATGTCAACTTTCCGAGTGCTGGGATTTTAGACAGTGCTACCATGCTTAGCTTTCTTATGCCTCTCTTAATACGTCTGTGACAGAATAATTCTACCCTATAGCAGCTTGTCTTCTGAAATTTGTCTCCCTCACTACATACTGTTTTTCAAAGTATTTGAAGCTATATCTTACTTAGTTCTCATTGTTTCTCAGGTTAGCCGTTTATAAGAGATTGTATGGATATTGAGTCAGGATTCTGTGATGGCAGGATTGTTTCTACCCACTTACAGCCTTAGCAAAAGTTTTCTGGGATAGGTACCTGTAGTATATAACGTATGAAAAAAAAAACCCGCTTAACCTGATAAGTCAAATGAGAAAATAGAACCAAAGTGTCCAGTTGAATAGAGAACATGTTATTTTGTAGAGTTGTAGTGAAACATCCTTTAGCCTTGCAAGAGTTTGTTTTAGAAATTGAACAGAAGTCATTGGGTTAGACAACAAGCACTTTAACCTGCTGAGCCCTATCTCTGAGGAACATTCCCTATTTGTAAGAAGAGTTTGCATTTCTTTGGGCTCTACTTTTTACCCATGGCTTCTCATTATGTGAGAAAGAGCCTTTATGTGATAGTGTCTCACTTTCTCATTATCACTACCTGGAACTGTGGAATGCTCATCATGTTTTGTGCTTAGGACTGTCACTGCTCTCTGACACCCTCTTTCTGACCAGGTGCTAGTGAAGAGAGACTGCTCCCTAGAAGGTGGTTTGGGGAGAAAATCAATGAAAAGTGAGGAAAACCTTCTGATCCCACTTTGCTAATAACAGATTGAATCTCTGATTGTACTATCAACAGATTATTAAAAAAATCATAGTTGCCTGTCAAATGCACATGGTTGCCATCCCTTTATTATTCTATATTAGTTTGTACTAAACTCTATTTTTAAGGTAATTGAGTGAAATATAAAGATTACTAACAATTCATTGAGATATCTCTAATTAAAAGATTAGCATATGTTTGTCATAAGTACTCATCCTCCCCAAAAGCATTTTAGTGAGGTAGGAAATCCTTTGAATGCCAGTTATATCTAGTAATTAGCAAAGTTATGTAAATGCCACTGATGTCTCCCTGAATCTCCCGACTAGTACTCCTCTGAGGTTAGCTGGCAGCAGATGCCCCTCACTGTTCTAGGAATCCCCTGACTGCTTTAAATCTCACAGAACACATGGGGTAGCATGTTCCCCTTTATCCTGAACTCAGGTGGTGCCTGTCTCCAGGACATCCACTTTTTCCTCAGCCACTTTCTTCATGTTCTTCATCTAAACCATTAAGTGACTCAGTCATTTCAACCTTCACATCCTAGAGTTTCCAGGATGTCCTGTGTGGGTCTCAATTCTCTGTTCTTAACCATTTTCCTTTATCTTCTTTATACACCCACAGGAATGAAATAGTTCTATGATTAAAGTCAGAAGCTTCCATCTATTCCCAAATGGGAATTTATGACAACTTTTCTTGTTCCTTCTTACTCCTAAATTAGGAAAACCTTTGAAAGAAAAAGGAGTAAATTTTACCTGTTATCTTTTGTTCTCTGGCCAACTAGAGAGTATGAAATATTGAATGTACTCTCAAGGTTCTACAAAATATACTATCCTTTTCCCTGTTCAATATTCTCCTTACCCCATGTATAAGTAGCTAAGATTTTGGTGGCAATAAATCCTTGGGTGTGTACTCCATTTATTTAATATTGAAATGGGAAAATGTTAACTCAATAAACAATCTAATTATTTAATTATTTAGTTTAGCTTTCTTAATTGAAAATGCCATTTCCTATATTTCACTACTGAAGAGTCACTTTATATTCATTAGAAAGAAGTACAGTGGAAACTTTCACTTTGGAAATGAAATTTTATTTTTATTTATTTGTTTGTTTGTTTGTTTGTTTATTTATTTATTTTTTGTTTTTCTGGATAGGGTTTCTCAGTAGCTATGGAGCCAGTCCTGGAACTCACTCTGTAGACCAGACTGGCCTCGAATTCACAGGGATTCACCTGTCTCTGCCCTCCACGCGCTGGGATTAAAGGCATGCACCACCACCACCTGGCAGAAATTGAAATTCTTAATGGTGTCAAATTTTGTTCACTAATCTTTCATTAAAATGGTAAAGCCAGTTTTTATACTGAATATGATAAATGTTTTGCCTTCTTGCATCAAGTTTATATTCAAAGAACTATTGCAGGAGAAAAATCTTTTGTAAAGATTCTGATAAACAGATTTTGTTTATTAATAGCACATATAATAAGTCTGTTGCTTGACTTAAGCACACTTAAAAATGTATCTGTCTGAATAATAAATTGCCTGTTGCATTATAATCTATGGAGTAGAAATATTGAATGCAAAACTAAGTCCCTCCCTCCATATTTTAGTGGGAGAAGAGTAGAAAGTGAATGCCCGCTGCACAGTTTGCTGTTGGACTGTCACTGACTTAGGATCCCACAACTGCACTGTAGAATGTAGTGGTCAGTGCATGTAAGCTTCCGCACTTTTCTGTGGACACCCGAACCTCGAAACAGGCGCGCGCTTTTCCTGACTCGAGCCCACGAGAAGGGACGACTGTCCTAGGGGTTTGAACACATGACACACCCACAAAGAGACCGGGCTCATCTGCCAAGGAGCAAGTGGCAAATGGCAGCTTTATTAAGCATAAGTCGGGTATATATACTGTGGGGCAGAAAGGCACCAGCCCCCCATCAGGAACAAGGAAAGAGAAAAGTCAGGGGGCTGCACCCAAGGTCAGAGAGCAGCTGAACAGAGAAAAGAGGAACCTTTCCTTCTCTGACCAGGGAACCTTGCCTGCGGGCGGGCGAGAACCTTGCTTGCAGGTGGAATTACCATGACAGTAGAGGGAGAGTTCTCTCTAAGCTACACCCTTGGGCCGTAGGTGAAATTAACATAACAAGAGAGGGCAGTTCTATGCTACACCCTCAAGCTGATGCAGTGGAACCAGGAAGCAGAACAGCCCTGCATAGCGCCTTGGAAAAATGGGGAACCTGTGTACCTACAAGTGCAGGCAATTAAGATGCAGTTTCAGTGGCATTATCAGTATTGTGAAATACATTCACCACTGCATTAACTAAAGCTGTGCACAGATTTACTTCTTGTGTGTGCTCAGATAACTATAAAAATGACTTTGTGTTGGGTCATAGTGAGACCTAAAGCGTATTAAGGTAGAAAAGGAACCGTTAAAACGGAAATAAGGAACCAGATTCAAGTCACCTTTGTTTTAATTCTCACATGCCAAGGAGAGTGTTGGAGTATGTTTTGTCACTTTTTATTTCATGACAAGTCTTCAATTTACTGAAACTGGGAATTAAAAAGGTTTTTTCAAGGCAACTGTGCTGTTTTCAGTTTTTCCTTATATGTTTGTATATTAAAGAATTAAGAATTAAGGGAGGTGACTCAGCCTTTGCCTACAAGCCTGATGATTGGGACCCACATGACAGGAGAGATCCCATTCCCCCAACTTATCATACACAGACACACATGAATTTTTTAAATTGGAAAGCAATTTTTATACTCTGTTCAGTCATTTCATGTATACTTTCAAATACAGGAAACAAGTTGTTTTGAGATGAGTTTAGAGTATTATTTAGTTTCTTTGCCTTCTGTTTCTTTGTGTTTGTGTGGGGTGTATTAATTAGTGTGCTTGTGTTTGAGGAGGTCTGAGGACACCGAGGGTTCCCTCTGTCCCCCGCTTCCTTTTCTCAGTGTGCTTTCTGAGGAACCTGCAACTGAACTTTACTTCTAGCCTCCTATTTTTGTCCTCTCTTCAGTTGCTCCCTATTGGATGTCTTCAGAAATTGAACTTGAAAAGAATTTCAAATAAATCAATATATTTTTATTGATTAAAAGAAAATAAAACGAGGACATGACTGTTCCTAAGGAATTGAGGATCTAATAAAGAGATAGAAGGGAGAACAGAGGCCCAGGCGGAGTTATCTGTGAGACTCCATACTGGACATGCCCAGCTGACTGAACTGAGCCTTTTAAGTGTGGGGAAGGGAGAGAGATAAGTAGAAAGAGGGGGGAACCAGGAGCCAAGAGATCAGTATAACAAAAATGGCCAGGTTATATAGTTATATAGAGAAGCTAGAGGAAGAGACCTAACCCAGTCACAGGGCTGGAAAGTTTAGGGTAGGTGGAGTGCTATACCAGTCAGGATGTCTCTTTAACAGGTGACTGCAAAACTGAGAGACAGGTGGACAGAGTCTGCTTTGATATGTTAAATAGGCACCTGGGTTAGACATTATCTGGGTTGAGACTAACAGTAATGCAGTAGACCTGTTTTTTTTTTTTTTTCCCAAAGGGCATGAGGCTGTCCTAGTTGAGACTTATATAAGTAATTTTGTTAAACTTTTCACTGAATTTCATGTGTGTAACGATGTGAAAACTCCTGGAAGATACAATACTGAAGTTTTCATGTTCTATTAACAATCAGTATTTAATATATTGTGGACTTTTTTTGTTTGTTTGTTTTGTTTTCTGAGCCAGGGTTTCTCTGTATAGCTTTGGAGCCTGTCCTGGAACTCTCTTTGTAGACCAGACTGGCCACGAACTCAAAGATG